GCCGATTCTCTGATGGAACATCTCGAAAGATACAACACCCTCTCGACAGCTCAACACGGGTTTAGGTAAAAACGATCCTGCACCACCAACCTGCTTCTTGTCCGAGATGAATGGACCAGTACAGTTGACGAAGGGGATGCAGGGGACGTTATTTATCTCGACTTTGCGAAAGCATTTGATCGAGTGAATCACAAAATTTTGCTGCAGAAGCTCTACAATTGTGGCGTTCAAGATTTCGCATTTAAGTGAATTAAAGCATTCCTCGAACAACAAACCATACCAGTTCGTGTTTCTGATTCTGTATCCGGACTATCAAAGCCACCCGCAGTGTTCCACAAGGGTCCGTACTCGGTTCTCGGTTGTCCCTCGCCTTCATAGATGATTTACCCAAAGTGTTAGGCCCCAAAACAATACTGTTTGCAGACAACGCCAAAATCTGGAACACCGTAACAGAACCAAAGGGCTCTCAAACACTTCAGGAATCATTCAATGCAGCTTATCAATGGTCTAAGGAGAACGACATTCAATTTAATGTTTCTAAATGCAAAGTCCTATCCCTACACCACAAGCGGAAATTCTCGTATTTCCTCGGGGACCAGCAGCTAACACATCTAGCGAAAAGGACTTAGGTATTGTTGTTCAAGAGAACTCAAGTTGCTCCAACAACTGTGCTAGGGCTTCGTCTGCTGCTATGGAGAATTTCGGCTTACTTCGGCGAGTCTTTGGCCGGTTTGAATCATCACTATTCCCACGTTTGCTATCAGCATACATTCGACCCTACACAGAGTAAGCCATCCAGGCTTGGAGTCCATGGCTTCAACGTGCTCGCAAGATGCTTGAGCATCCACAAAGAATGGCCACCAAGATGGTCAAGGGATTCTATTACCGGACATAGTAGGAGAAATTGCGATCATTTGGACTATATTCTGCTCAGTTCCGCCGAACTCGAAGAGAATTGATTTTGACATATCAAATACTGAAGAACCCAAACCATCCGTGTCGATCGCTCCTCATGTTATCGAACAATGTACACCTAAGGGGACACCGTTTCAAACTACTGATTCCAAAGTCTCGACTGGATTGCCGGCGCCAGTCTTTTGCTGTCAGAGTATGCAAATCTTGGAATGCCCTTCCATCTCATGTCGTTTGTTCACCCACTATTGGATCTTTCAATGAAACCTTGGCACACCTCACATTCATACACCACTAAAAGCAAACGGAAATTCACTGTAGCCTACGTTCTCTATTATCTCCTGCCCGGAACTCTATGTGACTCCCTTTTCGGCGTGTAACGATTCATCTTTGTAAATATCCTATGGGACAAGAGAAGCACGGGCTTGTAAGTTATTCCTCATAATAAAACTTTAACTTTGACCCCCTGTCTGGCAAATGCACATCACATGCTCTAAAGCCGCTTTCATCGTTGCGATTTCATTCGGATTGGGACAGGAGAACCCTTTTATCCAACAGTTTTAATTTTCATTTTCGCCCCAAACTGTCAGAAGTGTAAATTTTCCCGACATCCCACTGAAGATATACTATGTGATTTCTCCTAAAACTGTTGAAATATCCAACAAACAAGCCTACCCGACACGTCGCCTAGTTATCGTCCTCAAGTGGTATCAAACAAGCGTTGTCTGGATTGGCCACTCAAATTACTGCCTCGTGGGAGATGTAGTTTTGAAGTACACGCAAAAAGTGTTGTAGTACTGATATGCATATCCAACAATATCTAACAATTTTTCTGAGCTTTCAATTTTTCACAGCATTCCGTCCCGATTTGCTGCGCCCCACACATTTGCGATATATTCCCTTTTTATCCCGACTCAGAAATACTGTTAGTTATTTCTCAATCAAAATGTCATTGGATCTCGGTCTTAGCTTTGCGGATCCTGCTTTGAATCTTTTAATTCTGCCAACCGTGTAATAGAAGGATAGACTAAAAGTAAGACAAAACTACTTTTTCTCCTTTAGAACGAATGTGTTGAGCGGTTTCTCTGTCCCAGTTAAAAAGGATTTTACAGGGCACACGTCGTCGAAATTCATACTCTCACTCACAGTGAAATTCAAGCTACTGGGTCGCAATACACGTTGACCCCAACTGGCAATGCAAACGGCTCCACTGGAGATTACTGAGAAAATCTATTTGATCAATATGAAAAGAGGACAAGTGTCGCAAGATGTTAATATTTCGTTTTATCTTCTCAATTTGTGTCACATTGTCTTCAGCTCCTCGTTTTCCTCGTCGTTGTGATTTTCCGAATTTTACAATTGCGTATTTTCATACACAGTTTTTTTTTGTGTCGACAATCACCGTGTCCATTCAGCCAATTATAAACGCATCAGTGAATATTTCATTTACTGTTCTATCGGAGATGTGCGGAAATTTTTGAAACGCTTGAGATGAGCCAAAAGATGATCTCTTTTCTCTCCCGTATCTAATCGGAATGCCCATTTGTTTACCCAAATCTGATCAATCACGATCAGCAATATCATTCCCGTTGACCGTCCCATCGAAATGTATGATCGCCTCTCGGATCAGTATTGAAGGTATCTTCAATGGACCTAGCAACCCAGCCGCTTGTTAGACGAAACACCAAAAGTGCATTAACAGAAACTCTGAGTTGCAAACAAACAGGGGGTATACAGTACACATGGAGATTCTGGATATACAGTGGCATCGACAAACGACTGTTGTAACAATTCGATGACCTACAATGTTCACACAGAATTAGCCAAGTGCCCAGTGGAGACTGGGAAAGTGTGGCATGGTAAAAATCATTCCGGAGAGCACAGTGTGCCACCTCAAAGAGGATAACTAAAATGTAAGAGTACTTTTCATTGTGCAATGCACATGACTTTGTATTTTATTACCTGATTTTCCCTCCTAAATAAAAGTTTGGAGAAATTAGTTGTGATGAGTGAGACGGCATTTCTTCTCCTGTCTCTTAAAACAATCCACGAATTGAAACAAGCCTTTCCCGAGATTAATTTCAAAAGAAAAGACCATATTGCAATACTGCACGATTTATGTCCAGGACGATTTCGCTGCATCTCAACATGGTGCATACTGCAGAAAATACAATGTTTATATAGGGTTTTAGCATAGCAACAGAGTGAGGCAAAATACATTAAAAACAGACAAAACATAAAAGGAGGGGTAAAAGGACCAATATCACCAGGGTAGGGAGAGACTAACGTAAAGTTCTTTTTGCTGACACAGGGGGGGGGGCTTCCATCGATTAATTGCAATCGCTTCGGCAAACCTTAGCAATCTTGCGACTTGTGAATTGTAAACGATTCGAAACGCTGTGCCTCGGTCTAGCAGGTGTTGTGTCATCAGCAAATGTCGATCAATTGCTGATGATGGTGTCTTGTGGTTTCGACCGTCGATTCTACGCAGCGGACTTGACCTCAATGTGTCAGGTGTGTTTGGACCCAATTCGGAATATGTTCCACCACCC